CGACCTCAGAAGGACAGAAAGCTGAGTCAACCTTGAGCCTGGGGAGACTCGAACTGCTGAACTGCAGCAGAAGTAGCCTGCAGTGCTGCATTCTAACCACTGTGCCACCACAGCTCTTTAGACTGGGACTGAATGTGCATCACAATCTACACTGTTGGCAAAAGTTTATTTTTCTGTAGCATTCTCAGTTTATCTTCTCTGTTCCATCTATTGTTGCAGAAGGATCATGTCCCAGCACTTTTGGGAATGGCTACAGCATACATGATTTTAAAGCAAACCCCAAGAGCCAGAAACCAGTTGAAGCGAATTTCCAAAATGAACTGGAATCCCATTGATGCCGAAGAGTTTGAAAAAAGTTGGCTTTCGCTTGCAGATATTTACATCCAGTCTTCAAAATATGACATGGCGAGTGAATTACTAAAGCGATGCCTTCGTCACAATAGGGTAATTAGCAAACCGGAAACCATTTTAAAACTATGAATTGGTTAATTTATCTCTTGAGATTTGAAAGGAGCATTTAAGAGGAAGAGGCTTATGGCTACAGCTATAGGTCATAATAGGTTTCCTTACAGTCCTTGGCTGTTCAAGCAATTCTTCTAAGTTATTTCTTTTTCCTTTCCTTGACTTACAACAGTTCATTTAGTGACCTTTCAAAGTTAACGTCATTGAACAAGTGATTTATGACCATTTGTCACATTTACAACTGTTGCAGCATCCCCAAGGTCATGTGATCCAAATTCAGATGCTTGGCAACTGACTCATACTTATGACGGTTGGAATGTCCTGGGGTCATGTTATCACCTTTTGTGACCTTCAGACAAGCAAAATCAACGAGGAAGCCAGATTCACTTAACAAACACGTTACTAACTTAACAACTGCAGTGATTCACGTAACAACTGCGGCAAAATAGGTTGTAAAACGGAGCAACACTCAGTTAAATGTCTCACTTAGCAACAGAAATTTTGGGCTCAATTCAGGTCGTAAGTTGGGGACTACCTGTATTAGTAAACAAAGGGAAAGTTCTGGTTAAGTCTAACATCCACACAATACTTTATAGGAAAAGCCACAGAACTAGCTTATTATTTTAATAACGGGATTCTAACTTTAGGAATAACATCCTTGTTTCGTTTTATTTTTTAGTCCTGTTGCAAAGCTTATGAATATATGGGATACATTATGGAAAAAGAGCAAGCTTACAGAGATGCAGCTCTAAACTATGAGATGGCCTGGAAATATGGGAACCAAACTAATCCAGCCATTGGTAGGTCTATTTTTGGCCTCTGCTTTTTCTGGTCTTTCAATAATTATTACCAGCCACGGCCAATCATTTATTAATCTTACAGAGTTTGGAAATGGGAAACATGCACCTACTATCAGGTCAGATTATATGTTCTCCTATTCTTCACCAGATCATTTTTCACCTGCTATGACCTAGCATTAGAATATTAGGGAATTGGTATTAGAACGCCTATTGTAAATTTAATTGGAAAATACATTCCTTCAAATAGTAGAAATCTAGTTGAATGTATCTAAAATTAGTCAAATGTATTAACAACCCCATTAGAAGACGACAATGCTGTCATCCAAGTAGATGCTACATATGTTTGCTTGGAAATCTACTTTTGAGCAGGTATATATGGCACTCTGCTGCAGGCTAACAAATTGTGTTTGATTTTATCAAGAGGCAGCCTGTGGTTAAATTAGCAAAACAGAACATAAAACAGTAATTCAGAAAACAAAAATGCCATCCCTCCCTTTTATAAGTATGATGCATGTATTTATTGCAATGTAATATCATATGGAAATAACATTCTGTATGTAATAGAAAATTGCTAATTCCCCCCCCCCCCCCCAAAAAAAAAAAAAAAAAAATTGGTACCTGTCTCTTTTAAAAATATTTGGAATGTCAGTAATGTAATTAAAGGAGACTACATGTTTTCATCCTGGAACACTATACTTTTCAGAAGAGCTTTTTGAGCCATGGTGGCGCAGTGATTATAATGCAGTATAGCAGGCTAATTCTGCTGACTGCCAATTGCCAGCAGTTCGAATCTCACTGGCTCAGGGTTGACTCAGCCTTCCATCCTTCTGAGGTCAGTAAAATGAGGACTCATATTGTTGGGGGCAATATGCTGATTCTGTAAACCGCTTAGAAGGCTGTAGAGCACTGTGAAGTGGTATATAAATCTATTGCTTTTACTATTTTTGTGCATGTGTATACTCTGTCTCACACACACACACACACACACACCCCTACACACACCTTATAGTAGGCATTCATAGAACAGGCATCATGTGTCCAAATAGAAAAGTACATACCTGGATACATCACTTCTTGGATTTCTAGAGAAGACCCCTACATTTTTCAAATTTATGTGGTTAAGTGTTATGTATGGTAACTGATTTTATGCTATTGGAGATTGTTGGCAGCAGAGAGCAGTGTGGTTCCAAGAACTCTCAGGTTGACTAAGGTAGAATTTAGTTGAAGGGAAGCTACTTAATTTCCTTGTGGATAGAAACAAATATGCTTTCAAGGACAGCAAGCTCTCCTCTCATTTATCCCTTCAAAAGTTCTTAAACTGCAAGAGGAGAAAAATGACACTTGCTTCAACATTTGTAGAAGTTCAGCTCTTTCTCTTGTTTATTTTGTGATACCTGTAAGGCCTTGGGAGGAGCAAATTCACCTGAATTTGGGAGATGAATGTAACTTTCTGTATTCAACTCTTAAATCTACAAGCCCTTTTCCTCTGCCTGGCCTTCAAGCTCAAATCCATGTTGTTACATTCTTCATTCCATGAAGCCACTGAGGAATGCTGCATACCTACTACTGAAATGTAATCAACTCCAGAATGAACTCCATAAAAATAATGTGTACTGAGTCTGTCCAAGCCCAAGCTCCATAGAGCCAGCTTGTTATCATTTACGATATAGCTCAGCACTTTCTAACCTGAGCAAAGTTAATATAAATATACCTGATTTTGCTATATCCAAAGGTTTCCTCAGTTCCATACGACCTGTTGAGGATTATTTCATGCACAGTACGAGAACGTAGGTGAAAGTTTCTATCTCTCTAGAACCACAGGGCCAACGTCTGTGAATAAGGTGCCCCTTCTATGGTGCCGCAAGACGTGCTTTGATTTCACCAATAATTTCTAACTACAAGGGCCAATCAGATAAATGTTATGTTCATTATCTTTTAACTAACCCTATGCTTACACATCAGGTGGCCATTTTTTTTAACCAAGTTACACAACTGTGCAAAATGTATAGTTAGACATGCTGTTTTATTGTCCAATTTTCCCTTCCCTAATGGTTGTATTAAACTGTTCCTTCTTTTGCTGTAATTTTATTATTATTAAATTGTAAAAAGCTGGTTAAAGACAGTGATACAGATATTTGATTTGATATTTCATGCAGATGAGCCTGGGAAATGGATTGGGATGTTCTTTTCAAATCATGTGCTTGTGAGCTGAAGTGAAAGTGTTGTAGTAAGCAACTTTTTAAAGTCAGAAAATGTGAATGAAAGGAGATGGGTGGTGGGAAATTAAAAGAAAAATGTCCCTATGGTTTGCCCCAGGGGTGTCAAAATGGCAGCCCACAGGCTGGATATGTCATGCGCAGGCCATGCCCACCCCAGCTCTTTGAATGGGAAAACGGTTGTGAAACATCATGTGATGTCAACATGATGCGGCGAGTTTGATAACTGTAGTTTGTCCCTTCTTTTCCTGTTTGGTGTTGTTAAGGATTTTGAACTTGAGGGATAACAGTAACTTTTGACTGAGATGGAAATCACGTATAACAGACCTGTAGGTTACCTTCTCATTTTAAAATCTTCTATTTGTACCATAATTTAAACTGTAGAAAGAAACATGCACATATCACCCTAGTTCTTTATTTCTTTAAAAATATTCCTTTGCAAAATCTGTACCATTCTGCTTTTACAGGTTTCAAGCTAGCTTTTAATTATCTGAAAGCCAAGAGACATATTGATGCTATCACTATTTGTCATAAGGTAAACTACACTGACTATCTGATAATGGGGGTGCTGCATGTTAAGAATCAGAATAAAGCAGACATATAAACTTATGGTGGAGCAAGTCTAGACAATATAGTTACATCTGTTTTAAAGTTAACTTGTAGCTTGAAAAGCAGTCTCAATGCAAGTTTTTTTTTATTCAACAGGTTTTAGAAGCACATCCAAATTATCCGAAGATAAAAAAAGAAATACTTGATAAAGCACGTGCCTCTTTAAGGACTTGAACATTGATGAATGCATTTGTGTTAATTTGGAATATAAAAGGAGCTTTAAGGTCATCTGTAAAATTGAAGATGCTGCACACCCAACTAGTTCCCAGAGAAAACCAGCAGAGACTACTTGTAGATTTATTTTAAAAACAGGCTGCTTTAGTATTTAGGGTTCAGTAAAAACAAAAGATCATTGGTGTCTCACTTTCCTCCTGTAGATACTGGCTGCAATCCAGATAAACTGAGTAAAAGAAACAACATGCACAGCTGGAACTTTCTTTGAAGATCGCTCTGTGGCAGAGAAATCTGTAGAGAGAACTTCCAGCTGTGTCTATTGCTCTTTCTACATTGTGGAGGTGATTTATTTGGAGTGTAATCAATGTTTTGAAACAGGGCCTACTCTGAATCCCCAGGAATAACAAGAAAGGGGAAAATAAAGTACTATACTACAATGTTATATTTGTATCTCTCTCATCTCGTTTTAACTTTTGTTTTTCTAAGCTATCCTTTTCTGGAAACCTTAAGCAATGACCTAATTCTTATTTAAATTTATTTTACTATAGCAATAAGACTTCAGTTTTTCATGTTTGTGTGCAATATTGCATATAAATATGCAACAGTATGAAGAATATGATATAAAATAAAAGATCTCTATGCCAGGCTTTTCCTGATGATCCCCATGTTAACAGCTGTATTGTTTTCTGTTGTCCTTCCACAATGTTCAATCTCTCCATCTTTTGCAAAGTAGATTAAACTAAGAAATGAAGCCTTTTCTAAAATTACCATGGAGTTCTTAAACTTAAGGAGATATTTGAACTTCAGTTGCCTACATTAAAGCCCAACATTTAAATCAAAAACAAGGATTAACATCCAAATGGTTATGTATATCTCTGAGTCAATATAGTGCTGTCTTTTTATTATCACTTCTGGTAAAGATACAATAGGCTCTTATACTTGCTATTAATTGATTCTTTGGGCTATTGTGACAAATAACTATCAAGTGATTTATTGCCTGCCTAGATTTAGAATTTCCAGACAAGATTATTTCTGAGAAACTTTGGTTTTACTGATCCAATGAATGCCTATGCTATTTTGAATATATTATAGTTTAAACGGATATATGCACCACCCAACCATTTTTGTTGTTTTGTCTCAAAAACATGTTCACATAATCTGCTTTCTTCCAACCATTTGCTAAATCAGTTGAAGGTAAATACAGTAATTTTTAAAGGGAAAGAATAGCTCCTTGATCATGCATTTTTCCAGTGTTTTTATTACATTTTTTGTGGAAAATCTGGGTTGGGTAAGATTGCTTTTTTTAAAAAAAGTAGTACACATTGCAATGTTTCCTTTTGCCACATTTGGATTTTTCTAAGGCTTACATATTAAAATCAAACAGTTTTTATAGCTAGCAGTGTTTATTGTAACATTTTGGGGAAATGCACCAAACAGGACTGATGGTCTGTACCTTTCCACATGTGACAAATCTATGAAAACCTTTAGCTATACTGTTTTTCTGTTGCCCCAATACAGAAAGGAACCAGCTGAGTGCATCTATTAGCTTTACTAGGTTCAACAATTTGAATCTTGGGTATAGTAGCTGGAAGTTTAAATGTTCTTTCAGGGGAGGTGGGCATTAGCCCTGAAATAGTTATTACTTGCCAATTCTGCCTGTGGTTCTATAAAACAGGCCTGTCAAACTGGCACCCACCCCGGCTCCACAAAGGCAAAAAAAGTCACAATACGTCACGTGACACGATCAAGTTTGACACTCCTCTTATAAAAGGAGGTATGTAGGTGAGTCTACCTGAAGTAGGGAGGGGGAATGCAAAGCAGAAAATTCCACTGTTACTTCCTTTATGGTCTTGTTTTTAACCAATCTTGTATGGTATTAATACAAGAGAAATAGCAGAATTAAAACTATACCATGTAAAGCTCTGTACCTATATCTGCATCGTCCAACTCTCAGGCCCCGTATAAAATATTTAAATAATTTTCTCATTGGTATCTTATGAAGTTTGAAAACTATCAATCAGTGTTACAGGTTGTTGTTTTGGAAAAGTAAGTGAATATTTACTGTATATGATTATATAGAAATAGATTCTCAAATCTATTTTTAGTTATTGCAGAAGTGTGGGTTCTGTGATTAGGTCCTGCAACTTCCTGTCTTAAATCCAATTTCAATTTTCAAAGAGTGATGTTAAGGATTCATCCTTGTGGTTGAGTGTTGGTTCCTTTTTGTGTGTCATATCCACATCCTGTTGCTGTACCAGTTGTTGCTATACAGTACACCAACAGTCTTTATTTAGTTCTGCTGGTTTTGCTTTTTAAAAAACTCTTCCTTTTATGCGAACTATACCTAAACAAGGATTTTAACAGCAAAGGAAGTAACTTTTTACTTCAACTTTACATTCTCCCTCCATTTTTCAGACTGTTATCTGTAACCATTATAGGACAAGATTTACATTCATCTATACATGTTTATTTTAGGCACTTAATTTTGCTTCACTTGACACTGAACTGAAGTCTAGTTATATGTGGGAAGACCAGTTATGTACAATATTTTGCTTATTACTGTTACAATAGGCATTTTAATTCTTTTGTGGATTAAAACTTGTAATTCCCAGAAACTTCCTATTGAAGGGCTTAAGGGGATATCGCGCAATAAAGCTACTAAAGAATAACTTGCCGGATGAAAATAGCCTAAGATTATTCTAGTTATTAGGTGGGATCCTTCTTATTCCCATAGCAAATAATCCAAGTACCACTAAAATGGGGTGGACTGTTTTTAGAAAGAAAAGGAAGGACAATATTCCAGACCCGTACAATGATATTGCTAATAAAACTCTGGTCTTCTGATATTGCACTGGATAAAAGTAACACTGCTTTATAATTCATAAAAGTAGATAGAAGGGCTAGATTTCAACGAGAACACCAACATCTCCTGCATCTTTCACATTGATCTAAATTGCAGCATGACTGGCTTCTTGTTCCTCTATCGTTCAGCTCCTGCCCTTTTCTTCGGCCACCCTAAATGTAAACAGGAAGGAAGAACAGTTTAACAGCTAATAAAGCCAAGGTTTATTCCATTCATCGGTGTGTTAATTTGCATGAAAAATTTATGGAAGATACTGTGCCACTAATTCTGATTCCAATAGAGCTTTTAATATCCTGCCTTTCAGCCACATTTCCACCTGGTTGGATTCAGATAAGCCATTTGAAGCCATTCTGTCTCCATGAGGGAACAGTGGATCTCTTTCTTCCTTCCTTGATTTTACTCTCTGCCCAGTGAAGTAGAAAGACTCTATTAGAGCTTTTATCAATATTTTAATAGTATTTCATATCCTAAGACTTCCTTCTAATACATGGCCTTTGAATTAACTCCCGTGAGGGAGCCAGAGAGGTAAGTGCAGTTATCTTCATGAAAAAGGCCAGTGTTCCATATGAGGTTGCCTAGCAACTCACCTTCTACTCTGTTTTTGGAGTAGGGAGTGGAGTCAGTTTTCCATTTCCTATTGCTTCACTCAGTTTTCATAGAATATTTAAGTTCTTCATACCTCTAGTCGCATAAAACAAGGGATCCCCTTTCCATTTTTAACACTTTGGATGCTGGCAATGTTTTTTTTGGAAAGCCTTGGTGCTCTCACTGCTTTGTATTTCCAAGAAAAAAATCCTGAAAAGTGTCCATTTTTATCTTCAAAAAAGAAAAATTAATCAGATTGTTAGCAGCTAATCAACTGCCACAATATGGATACCTTCTGAATATTACTTTATTCAAATTAGAAACTGGATTTCAAAACATTTCACTAATAAGTTGTGATCTGGACGCAAATGAGTAGAAATTAAAAGACAGGAAATAACAAAAGGGAAAGGAAACAAGGAAAATAATTCATATCAACACGATTCTCTGTCTCCACTTTTCTGTTCTTGCAAACATTCTAATATTCATAACTTGCTTTATGGTTGGTTATTTTTCTTTAAACTTGTCACTTCCCTCACTTTGAGAATTTCATCAATTCTAGAGGAAATTTTCTTGGGTTTTTCCCTTCACATTCCAACATATTACAGATAATCCCCCACTTACAATCTTTCATTTAGTGATTGTTCAAAGTTACAATGGCACTGAGAAAAAGGGACTTATGATTATATTTCACACTTACAACCGTTGCCACATCCCCATGGTCATGTGATCAAAATTTGCACACTGGCTCACATTTATGATGGTTGCAATACCCCTGGGTCATGTGATCACCTTTTGCAAGCTTCTGACAAGCAAAATCAATGGAGAAGCCAGATTCACTTTACCACCGTGTCTCTAATTTAACAAGTGTGGCAAGAAAAGATTGTAAAATGGGGCAAAACTCACTTATCTCCCTTACCAACAGAAATTTTGGACTGAATTGTGGTCGTAAGTCAAGCACTACCTGTACCTCTTTATGGATTGCCTATTTTTGTATTCCGTAAACATTCAGTTCTTATGTGTTCTCATGTCTATCTCTTGTATTACCACATGCATTTAATTACCCCATTCCATTGCATTCAACGTTCAACATTTCACCTAACATGCTTCCATATAACAACAATTTTGGGCAGAAACATGCTCTTATACACAGCCATTTGGTTTCTTTCAGCAGCATTCCTTGCAAAAGACTATTTAGTGCCTATTAAGTTTCTATCAGGATTTTCACATATTAAAATTTCATTTTTCTATTTGTAATAAAACTTGAATTAAGGTACACAAGTTCAACTACAAAGTACACAGGTTTTTGTGTGTTTTTTCAATTGCATACAAATAATTAACAGTCACTGCAAATCATTTGGTTTTTATTCAGCAAAACGTTATTCAGCACAAACATATACATACTCACATTCTAAACCAATTCATCTCTAATGTCATTACAAATTTCCCTTACACAAATACATTTAATCCTTTTTATTTTTAATAATACTCTGGTGGAAGGTCCTTGTTCAGCTGTCTTTACCTACTTCCAAAATAGATTTTTATTTTTATCAATATCACTCTATATTTTCCTTGCTGTGTCCAATCTTAAATCCCTTATTCTCTTTGACATTCTTTGCAATTATCTTTTTTCTCTATATCCCCATAATAAAATAGTTTTGTCTCATTGTTTGCAGCAATCACTCTCTTGCATAACTTTTTCACTTCTGAGTCTTTCACTTCAGCATTCCAAGAACTTTTTCATAATAAGTGTGACTCCATCCATGTCTGTCATTTTTCTTTTCATCAAGCAGCTTCCATAGCCTCTGAATAATATTACTAATTTAAAAGAAATTTAAGCTTATAAGAATTCCAGCAACTATTTTACTTTCAAATGATAAAGCAATATATAGGCAATCTAAAGTTGTAAAACCATAAGTATAAAAGTATAAAAGTATATAAAAGTATATTTTGATATACTTGAACATACTGGCTTGTGGGCTTTTATTTTGGTGAAAGCTGGACAATCTCATCTATTAATTGTTCTGATAACAGTATTACTTTTATCAGTATGAGAAATAATGCTCACATTTACAATTAATGCCATCCCAATTAAACTGTTAAATGTAATTACTTTATGGAAATCAGGTGAATGGATTTCAGAGTTCTTAAGAAACAAAGATATTTTAGAATTACAAATCTGTATACAGATATTTGTATACTAAAGAAAGATTTCCAGTGCCTTATAAAGCAAGGAACTGACACTGTGCAATAAAATAATTTATTCAAGAAACCAGGGAATGGGAGATTAGTACCATGGAAATATATACTGATAAAGCAGAATATTTGTAGTTCTGGGTTGAAATGAGGATCCTTGGTGCTCTCTGGGCTTGGTAGTCTGGCACCAATGATGTTACCTAGTTTGGGTAATGAAATATCTGCAAGAAAACAAGCAAGCTTAGAGAGCACCATGGATTCCTCAAATTTATATTGATATTATTGTTATTTTTTAGTGTTCTTGATTTTCAGTATTCATAATACAGTAAGGAAATCACAGATACTATAGTTACAATCCAGCTAGTAATGGCTAAGGTTTCAAACATGTTCACATCATTAAAAGTATTTAACATGAAACTAGTCAGAATTTATTCTGGGCAAATATGTGTTTTACATTCTTTTGAATGTAAATTAAGATTCTAATGACTCATTGAACTGTCAATTTCAGCAGAAAAATAACTAAACAAATTATAATGTTTATAAAAAAAATACCATACAATTGGGACTAATAAAAAAAATCATGGTATAAGTTTTTATTAAACTCGGTATTTGGTGTATTGGAAATAATCAGGATACAAAATGGAGAACAGGAAAATCTTGTCCAATCCATTCAAATGAAAAAACATTAAGAGTAAGAACTCCAGCAAGTTCAAATCTTCAATAAGCAAATCCAAGAAATGATTGGAAAAGTAAATTAATTTTAATGCATCTCTTATATCAATAGAATAACTGAAAGAAGAATGCCAGCCAGTGATCCTTAGGATTATTAGTATATATTAAATTTATATGTCGCCATACTCCCAGAGACTCTGGGGACTGTGTCAGTGTAAAGATCTGTAAATCAGGTAAATTAAAGAACTCAGGCACATGTCTACAACAGGTATATCCGGAGTCAAATCCACAAATTTTATATATAGACAAACCCTGACCTGTTGGATCATACTTTCAATGGTATTTCCTTATTTAAATGGAGAAACAAAATGATCATGGATGAGCAAAAAGCAGTAGGAACGGGAGTGACTTTCAAGCTGGCAGGCAGCATTGGAAATTACTCTTCCTCTTCTTTGGCTGGCCCACAGAACTGTTCGCCACTTTTCTGAGGGGAGGAAAAACAAAGAAATTGTGGACTGCAAAGAAAATTGCACCCCTCTTCCCCAATCTGGCATGTCCACAAAGTAATGCAGCACCATTTTTATCAGGTAATAAAAGGACAAGAAAATTAAGCCCAAGCCAAGCTGCACGTGGACAGCAAGTATCTAGTGGCTTTAGAAGGTAAGACAGAGTTCAGCAGCATGTTTGCTCGCTTTCTTATGAGACTTTTCCAATACTCATGATAAGGCATGCAGTTATACCTATTTTCTATCCGGCAATAAGGATCAGGACACCTAGGGCCCAATTTGTCAATTACAATTTGTGTCAAATGTCAACATGTTTAAAGGTGTTTAATTTTTTATTATGTACCATTAAGTCATTTTCGATTCCACAATTGGAGACCAAAATTGGATTTGACTAAACAGTTTGTAGACATAAGCCTGAGTTCTTTAGTTTACCTGATTTACACATCTTTATACTGACACAGACTCTAAAGTCACTAGGAGTAGGGTGGCATATCAATTTAGCGATTAACAACCACTTTTTCCTTTTTTTTTAATTTCCTTTTTTATTGAAGAACCTGGTCTTCCATGAAGCATTGGATGACATCCCGATATTTTATACCTGGACTTTTTCCAAGCACCCGATCCTTTTTTGAAAGCACCTTTAGCGATAGGTTTTACTTTTCAGTTGGAGGGACATTCACCTGGATGGAAATAGAGCAAAGTAACCCAAAGGGGCTATTGGATTAACTTCCAAGATAAAACCTGCAGGGGGATCCAGGACTCAGTTGGGGCGAATGATTGCATCAAACTATCAATACCCCCTTTTTTCTTTTTTTTTGCCCAGGGAGAGTTTGCAATATTTCGGGACAAGTTCAACAGGCGGGGGGGGGGGTGGGACAAACTGAAATAAAGGGTGCCTTTGCAATTGGGAAGTATTAAAAACACGATACAACAACCAGCCTAGTCTACGGTAGTAATTGACTGCTTTCTACAGGGAGTCAGAAACGGAACGTCGCAAAGGCGGCAATTATCGCCGGTGCGCGCGCGCCCGCGCGCTCCGACTTTCTCTTAAGTTCCTCGCTCTCTTGCCCCCCGCCGCCACTCCAGCGGCACGTGGCCTCCTTGCCTTCCGTTAAAAGAACGGAAGGAGGAGCTCTCGCCTCACCTGAGCACTTCCAAGAGTAGCCGTAAGCGAGCGTAGTCGCGTTCGGGTTGGGCTCTCACCTGGGCACCGCGGGCGGCGGATTATCAGCCAATCACCGTTTCCCTTGACCGCCGATCTTGCGCGGGAGGGGGGGAAGGGAAGGAAGAAACCACCCAGCAACGAGCGCCCGAGGTTGCTTTCCCCACCCGCTGGTGGCTGGTCGAGGCCACAGGTAGGCGAGGAAGGGGGGTAAGGGCTCTGCGGCGTCTGTCTTCGGAAGAACGGCGTGTTTTCTTTTATTGTTTTCTTCCTCTCTCGCCCGCTTCCCGCACTCAACTCTCTCGAAGACTTTAAAGGGCTGCTGCGAAACCTTTCGTAGTTCGCGTCGGCGGTGCCTCTGTTGAGAACCGGAGGGGAGAGCAAACGGCGCCCCATCCTCGCAAGACTCCCCCACCCACGCACCCCTCTCGCTTTTACCTCGAGAGACCGGGCAGTATTTAGGCATTCATGTTTGGTAGCGTGGTTTATGCAAAGGCTTTGAGGGACGGGAATTGGGATGGGGGCCATCGCGCATTGGCGCTTGTCTATCCCGTCGGAATGATTCCTTCATGCCGCCCCAAACTATTAAAAAGTGCAGAAGCCTCTCGTAATTCGGGTTACTTCTAACAGCACTTGGTTGTGAGGTAAAATTTTGGCGTCTAGATGTTCCCTTAATGGAACAATTCAGGCACTGCCTTGTCAAAACCCATCATGTTTAGTTGTATAGGTTTTAGAATTATAAAAGAAACGGGGGAGACACACACACACAGAGAGAGAGATTTTAGCATGAAATACTACACCAAATTTTGCACCCTACGGTCTGCAGCAACCTCTGGGTTTTGAGTGAAGGCGAATGTAAAAGTTGCAAGAGGGCAGGTCTAATCTGCATTTATCTTTCCAGGAACTGCTTCCGGGAGTGATGTGGAAGGTTGGAAGGTTGACTTAAAGAGAGGAGTAGCAAAGTGCAATGGTATTCGGGATTACTGTGTTTTAGTAGGACCCTGAAGTCTGAGGTGCAATTGCTCGGTTTGCAAGAACATTTTGGAATATGTGGGATGTAATCTGAAGCAGGCTTGAGGTATGATGGGCATTGAGATGTGGTTTTAAAAAAACAAAACATTTGATGCTAAACTACTATAAATATTTCCTTTTGTTGCCTAACTGAAACTTGTCTGACTGACATCATGGCAATGCTTACGCAGAAGAAACTTTTTGATTTCATAAATCTCCCTTGTATGTAATCAGTAAATATATTGAAGACTTAAATCTTCAGAATGTTTTTTCCCCTATGGTTATAATGGGTCACAACATAGAAAACAATTTTCTGTTAAAATATGAAGGTTTAGAAAATGATTTGGAATCAGATATAGAGGGGAATATTTCTATGCTTCATCCTATATTTCTATTCTGTCAGAAATCATGAAGTCTTGCATAATAAGTCACACAATTTTCTGTATTATGGCATAGTCTTTAAAGGCATTTTTGCTCTTAAAGAAACATTCTGATATGCACTGTTACAGATCTAGTAGCATTGGAAAACCATTTCTAGTGTACTTGTCAGGCCATAATTCACCTGAATGGATCCAGATCCAAAACCATATAATTTGAAATATTTTGTTATGCATATGGATCCTAATCTGACAATTTAAAATAACATATCAATAGTTATTAAAAGCATTCTAATTGGGTTATTAATGCTTTCATTAAATTAGATGTCAAAGAACTGGATCACTTCCATCCCTGTCTGGTCCACTGTGGGGGATGGTGATGGTGGAGTGGGCCAGCATCCCTCCACTATCCCAGTTTCTCATATGAGTCCTGGGGGAAATTAATTGTCTACCTCTGTGTTAGGGCAATACTCAGTATTCTGTTCATAAGTCTGGTCGCTAAGAGTTAAATGATGAGATGTAATAATTATCAGTATTCTATAACCTATATTGTACCATGTAGATAGATTTGATGTTCTACTGTGCTTCCCTTTTTTTTCTTTTTGTGCTAACTGGAGAATGACACCAGGCTTAACAAGATAACTCAGTCATTCTCTACCCATCTGTTGAACTCAAACAATAAATGATTGTTTCCCAATGTAAATGAAGGCTTTTCTTGGAAAAGCAATTATAAACTACATTTTATGGAACTCTTATAGCTGAAAACACTCATTCCTCTTCCCCAAATTTAACCAGAAGTATAATTGAAGCAATTTTTCTCTAAATTTTTAGAATAGTGTATACTTATGGCATAATACAAATTATGCCAATAGGAAGCAATACAACAGCTTTGGATTTAGTTTCACAGCCAACATATAGGATCTCTGCATGTATACTTTTATTGTGTTTGTCAATGCTGCTTGTTCAACCATTCATATGGGCTTGCCACCTGCATTGACAACTATATTTACTATTTATACAAATGGGATTGAGATTAGAATTCATAGTAATTTGTCCCCCATTTTTGGTTTATTTACAATAAGATATCTATATCCTACATTGAAATAAATAATTTTAAAATGCTTTCTTCCAAAACATCCAGAGTTTGAAGCAATTTGGTATTTCTGCTCATTCCCTTAAGAATGTTTATTAATATGTATCTTGAGAATCGGTAATGCAATACTATACCTGCAGGCTATAGCATCTGTCATGCCACTAGATGGCATCCATTTACATCAAATTAATTTTTTAAAAAAGAAACATAGCTACTCTTGAAAGATTTCTGTTTTCACATGAGCTCTTGGACATTTTTAATGTAAGTTTTTAAAAATTATTCTTCTAATTGTAAATAAAATGATGTTAGCATGGGATATCATAAGAATTCATGCAGGAGACCAGTCATCACTATACAACTGTTAGGCTCTCATTAAAATATGCAAATAGTGTACATCTTCATTCATACAGAACAGATCCTTTCTGTTTCCTAAAAGCTGAAGCTTTCAATTGTTGCAGTTTTCTGTCCATAGCTCCAATCACTTTTATCCACAGCGCGATTACATTCCTCCTCCTATCTGACTTTCGCTCTAGAAGTCTTTCAACATTTTGTTTTTATTAAGTTTTGTTTTTAAGAATTTTTATAATTTGGGCTTTCTTTAAGACTCTTATGCCCTCTTGTGTGTGCATAGTAAGGTGCTGTTTGACTAAAAGAAAGCCAATAGTTTAAGAAATGTTATTAATATGGTAATATAAAAGTAGAATCTGCAACAAAACATCTGCAAAATTGAGTGCTATGCTCAAAATTATAGCTAATCCATGCTTTGTCCAGACATTCCCCCCCCCCTTTTAATATCCAGTATTCTGGGATCACTGCATGAGCAGTTAAGTTCTTATATAACAGATCAAGTTACTACTGCATTTATCCCATTTTCTTGGTTCACACAATACATTGAATCACATATTAAGCAATTGCACTAATGTCTGCATAAAACAGTAGGCTATTAAAAAGCTATAATTGAAATTAACCAAGCTTAGTATAATGTACTATAATCACAAGGATTTGTTTAACTGAATTGGTTAGCTTTATAAAGTTCATGACTTAAGGTCTTTGAGAGGTGTTGCTCTCTCTACTCAGCCACTGTGAAAGTACTTCTGGCAGAATTATGAGAATGACCTTCTTGGTATCTGCTCTAAGTTTTGGAAGACCCTGTGAGGAAGATCACACTAGTTTAATATATGTTATCTTTTTGCTAGAAGCTAATGTATTTAATTAGACGAGCCTTGAAATTTAAACTGACTTGAAGCAGATTTTAATGATGTTATATAATTTATTTAGTCTTAAGCACATATTTTAAGCAGAAAAACAGACCACTGCATGTCACTATATGCATGTCAGAGTAACATCTCTATTAAGTAAAATAGCAACCATACATTTTTCCAACTTTAAATGTTGCTTAGAAATTAATGGCTTAAAAAGCAGTGCAAAGTATTTGTATGCAGTTATGCAATATGCATTTGTATATACATATTTGAAATATTTTAATTTTATTAATGAGAGGAATGAATTACAGTTTTAAAAATCTTACTTTATTCATGTAAATTATGACTTACATGAACAAAGTAAGAGCAACTATGTGAAAATCATTGGTGGCTGGCTCCCCAGCTCTTTATGTACTGGGAAATGACATCTTCCATGAATGGGAGGCATGAGTTGTCAGGAATTTGTGGCATACGTGGCAACCATGGTGGATAAAAATCTATGGTTTTTTTAAAAAAATTTTTTAAAAAATCAGATTTTTTAAAATTTAAATTGGATTTTTTTTATTTTTATCAAATTTGTTTTAATAAAATGCTTTTGGACTAAAATCTATCTAAAGATAGTTTTCTATTTAAAAATACATTAATTTAGTTTATTCGGCATGAAATGGAGCTGAGTTATATAGCATGAGGCTGTATATTCTGCAATGTTGGGATTGTTGGTGAGTCAATAGCAGGTCAGAGGAGGAGCATGAGATGACAGTTGCTCTTTAAAAATTATATTTAAATCGACTTGTTTTAAATCAAATCCACCCTTAAATAAAATCCATCCATCCAAGTTACCATGACACAAACTATTGTGGTACGCCCATGATACTAGTATTCACCTTGGAGGAATTCAGGATCAGAAGGTCAAGGACATCAATATCAGTTAGTTGTCCAGCTGCTGGAATTCACAATCGGCACCAATCTCCATAGGGGGATTGATCTGCTCCAAGCACCTTCTGGACCCACTTTATTTTCACTGGGCATTTAGGGGATTTCCCAGCCATCATGCAGATAACTCTTGGATAGATTGGCTGAACTATGGAGGATCAAGATAGGCAAGAGTTTTGATGGGGCTGCTCTGAAGTGACCTGACACTCTTGCTGATTCAAGATGGTCTTTGGTTTACTGGGGAGAACACAGGAAGAGAAGATGAGTAAAATATGATCAGACACAGGCATGAGTCCACACTTGCGCCTGTTCTGTGGCACTAAGAGCAATGAAGTATGGGTACTTTTCCATGGTTGGTTACTGCATTCTCAGAGCGCCATCTAGCAGTATTAATTGCATGACTGGGCCCTTAGAGGCTCTAGCAACCTCTGAGCAATTTCTAAGCATTTTGAGGATACTTTCTCTCTCTTGGAAGTAAACTAAGCTGGGACCACCCAATAAATATTAGAATTCTTTTGGTATTGAATTGTGAAAGCTTGATGGCTTTTCTCTCTCTGTTTTATACTAAGGATCAGTCTGGATTTCTTCCTTACCCTTTCCTATCTTACTTGGCTAAGCTAGTGTTTACATAATACAATAGGTGTTGTATATTTTCTTCAAGACCATCTCCACCCTTCTCTACACTCTTATACTGGATCTCAGTTGGTTGGTAGATGTGCAGCCACTGATGAGATGACAGAAATAATGTCTTGCCAGGCAATTTGGGATTTTTCAAGCCTATGATATCTGAAGAAGTTGACAGTGTCCTCTAGCATGAGCTCAGCCATCTGCAAGTTAGATCCTTGCTCTTCTTGGATAATACAAGCAGCCATAGAGGACACAAAAAGGCAAAGATCAAGAAGAATTACCTTGAAGGAAGCAGTTAAATGTCCCTTCTTAAAAAGTTATTTGGACCCAGCCACCTTGGGTAACTGTTACCCCATTTCCAACCTGCTGTTTTTGAACAAGTTGTGGAGATAATGGTTGGATTCCAGCTATAGAGTGTTCTAGATGGGATGGATTATTTCAGTCTCTGTTAGTCAGGATTGCAGTGGTAACATTATACAGATAAAGCTAATACAAACTATAAAAAAAACAAGAAAAGATAAAAGTGCAACGAAAGAAAGAAAAAAGAGGAAGAAAAAATAACACCCTCCTTTATAAATTCTAAAGAACTTTAGCAACTTATACCATATCTTAAAATATAGCAATCTCTTCATCCCGCATCTCATCACATTCTCTATAAATCTTTAAAGTGTCATCCATCCTAATTAGCAAAAGTCCAGTAATGGTTACTAGAAATAACATATCTATTTTTAACTGGATCTAATAAACTGATTAAATTCCTTCCTTTTATGTTCATATCTCATTTTCTATCTTTAATTAAGTTCCCCAAACTTCATCATTCCAATCTAGTCAATAATCAATTTATTGTAGTCATAGACCAGTATGCATAATAAACAAAATAACATTTAAGACATTCAACATTGAATATGCTGAGACCTGTGGATTCTGAGATGTAACCCTTGGATTTTTTACAACCTCTCAGCATTGCATCATCTGATCTTAGAGTGAATTTGCTGAGACATCCAGTCCTGGGAAGATTGGCAACTGTCCTGAATGTTTTCCACTTGTGAATAAACCTTCCTCACTGTAGAATGGTGGATTTTAAATTGTTTGGAAATATCATTATAATCTTCCCCAGACTGATGGGCAGCAACAATTGCTTCTTTAAGATCATTGGTGATATTTTTTCTCTTTGGTATTGTATCAACACATACCTCAATGCTGGAAACCAGTAAACTCTTAAAACTTCAGCTTTTATAGAGGTAATCACACTTGCTGTTGATCAGTTGAGAAAGCTTTCTGATGGAAGAGAACCTTGGATTTCAAAGATTATATTGAACAGCCTCGATCCAAATGGACTGAAAATTGTCCTTGAGAATTAATGGTGCTAAGCCTTTGAGGATAGAAATCGAATTTCAACCAAAGGCTTATAAAAGCTAGACACACAGTTGACTAAGGTTTTATCATATGTGTCCCCATTTGTAGATGTGCATTTGAGATACAGCATGGTATCTGGAGAGCTGCTCTGATTTTAGATTGTACCCTTTCCAGGGTACATCCTACGAGATGAGGTGCAACCAGAGTCCCATAAAGAAGCTGAGCTAGCATTTCAGCCTGAAAGAGCTTAAGTGTGGCTGGAACAATGTTCTCCCTTGGATTGGAAAAAAATTAAGGGTAGTGTTAACAGATCTTTGTCCAGGAGCAGTAGCGTATTCACAGTGATCTTTCATTGAGCCAGTGGTTTAGGGAGTCTAGAAAATCTGGACCCTTGCTCATCTTGCTGAGCCTTTATCTAAATCTAAATCTGAGTAATGAATATAAAATACTTTACTTTGCTGGTATGGCTCATTCCGGACTACTTCTGAACTAGAATTTTCCTACATGTTCATAATTTTTAAAATGATTTAATATGGAACATAATACTGAAGGGTGATACAGATTTTGTACATACGGCTATTGGGCAACTCTTCAAATAATTTGATTATAGTAAAGAATATATACAGTTTGGACGGATTTTTTGGCTGTACAAAAACTAATATGTGAAACAGATTTAAGACAGCAGGTTGCCAGGCTTGCATAAGGCCATATGGCTGAAGAGCTAGCACACATCTGTTGTAGAGCAATATTCTTTCCAGTGCTACATAAGAGATCATCTCTAATATTTGATTGGGCAAGATGCTTATCAAATAATAAATAGTATATACTATTCTGATTTAGACATAGTTCTTGTTCTCCAAAGCAAAGTGCCTAGCAGGTATCAACACATTCAGAAGTAATGTGAGATTTAAATATAATAGTGGCATATTAAGAAATTAAAAAGGGGATAAACAGTGGAAAATTATAATTTAATATAAATTTGTGAATTGTTATTAGAACTATATAATCTGGTAAACATTGCAAATATGATTATATAATTGGAAGTAAAAGGAGTGAGATTAAGAATATAGAGATTGACACAAAAATAACATTGTAATATTGAATAATCAAGATTGATAATTTAATAAAATATATGTATTAATACCAAATTTTAAAAGATTGTCAACTATATTAAATGAGGAATATTGTCATATTTGTATCAAAATGTAAGACTATGGAACCACACTATTCACACATGGATATTTTTGTTGTAACAGAAAAAAATTATTGCAAAAAAAAAAAAAGTTATGTGAGTGACAAACTGGTAAGTATCCATCCATCTGGAAAATTAGAATTGCTACCATGTCAAATAAATGCATAACATTGCAATGCAGCTTAACCTCTCTGCCCTCTCAAATGACATAGAACTGGATATAAATAATCTGTTGGTTAATACTGCAACTAGAGGTTTTTCTTCTACTGCCTGGCAATCAAAAATACAACCAGAAAAGTCTCATTTGAAAAAGAAAAATATCTGAAAATGCATATAGGATACTGAAAGGGAAAATGGAAATTTAATTTGGGATGTGCAAAACCTTTTGTCTTTTCAGTCCCCAAAATGGGCCACTGGAATGTTCCAAAAGTGATCAACTGAGAAACAGGCATTAACTGAAAAGGACTACTTTAAAGTTGGTTCATACCCAAAGCACTCAAAATAGAAGTACCTTTACAAAGCTGGAACACTCCCAAAACACAATGACTCATTTTGAAGTTTGAGGGACACGTAACAGAATATTGTGAACTCCCTTGAGATTCATAACCCCAAGTGGTTGTTTATGGCTAATAATTAAAATGTTTAGAGGATCTGATCTAAAAGATATTAAAGAATGCACCTCGAGGAATAAGAATAAATTGGCAGATGGGTTAGATAAGGGTTCTTACGGGATTCAAATACTCTAAGTTTAGAAAATGAACATTATTTCAATAACCCTGAAACGTAGTGTCTTTGTGAATTAATTAATTTAAATTGTTGCAATTATTTTTATGAATAAACATATATTAGTATGATTAACATTTTAAAATTTTTTGCAGGTTTTCCCATTTTGTGAACTTTTTTGTATCAAAGAAAAACTTTTCTGAAGCACTTCTATATGTCGACTCTCCACGATGACTTATATGAGAATGCTGCGGCGCTTCATAATGAAACAGTTTTCCCAGAAGAAACTTTGGAAGTTTACCTTCGTTATTTTTGTCTTCTTAATATTTTTGGTTTTGTTACAACGAGAAGTAGGTGTTCAAGAATTTAACGAGGAACCAGGAATGCCGTCTCATGATGAAAAGAAAACTGTATTAGATCTAGTGTTAAATGCCGTGAACAACATTAAAGCTGCAAAACCAAAAATGCAAATTAAAGCACCTCTTAGGCAGACTCATAATGCTGAACAGAAGCATTGTTTACCAGGATATTACACAGCTGCTGAACTGACTCCTTACCTTGAACGTCCCCCTCAGGATCCTAATACTCCAGGGGCTTCTGGTAAAGCATTTAAAATGATCAGTTTAAGCTCAGATGAACGGAAAGAGAAAGAGCATGGCGAAGAAAAGCATTGTTTTAATGCATTTGCAAGTGATAGGATTTCTCTACATCGAGATCTAGGACCAGACACACGACCTCCTGAGTACGTTGAAATGTATTTGAATTTAAAAGCAAATATTCTAGTTTTTGGTTAAACATATGTAAAGTATTGAAAAAGATTGCCTTGAGCTTCCATTTCTGTATTAAGATGTGAACTGTGACTATTGTTATTATAGTTCTCCCCCCCATGTCGCATCATCCCTGTGGAAATAAGATTGGCCCTCATCTTGACTCTCCTTCAGTCTTTCTGAAGACATGATTTTGCAAGTGGGCCTGGGGACCCCAAAGTGATAGGGGGCCCATGATTGGTTTGATTGTTGTCACAAGGGTTTATTAGGTTTTGTATTGGGATTTTATTTTTGTAAGTTGCCTAGTGTCACTGTGAATAGGATGGCTATATTTTTTTTAATATATAAAAATAAATAAATAGAATAATTGCTGATTCTTACATCTGTAGGTATAGCATACAGATATATACCTACATCTGAAGTAGTTGATCGTAGCAAATCATGCATCTAAAAAATATTAGGAAATCTTGAAAAATTTATGTGTGATATGAGCACTTCCAATACATTGATTAAGCTGCTATTAACACAATTTTTCAGCAGAGGTCTGTTTAAACTATTTTAAACTTGAATAATTTGTTAATTATGATGCAGCTTTGTGGGCAATTATTCTAAATCTTTATATCTGAACATTCCCTAGACAGCATTTTTGGGCTCAGTCTCTCAAGGTTATTTCCATATACCTTTACACACAGTATACATAGATTATCATTTTATTGTTAGAATGAGATTCTTAGAAACCTGTGCCATGTTACTTTCATTGCATTTTTTTAAATAATGATGAAATAGTTCTACTGTACATGCAAAGCTCATTATCTGTACCATGAGAATTAAGATTTAACAAGTCTTATTCATTTTTTCCCATAAACTATGGTTTTATCCCCCAGATGTATTGAACAGAAATTTAAGCGCTGTCCTCCACTGCCTACTACAAGTGTTATCATAGTGTTTCACAATGAAGCATGGTCAACTCTTCTGAGAACAGTTTATAGTGTGATGCATACTTCCCCTGCAATATTA